AGAGCAGAGATCGTTTTGAGAAAATAATGTGTTGTGCTGTATTCAAAACGTCTTGAACATTTGCATTCAGTTCACATTTCGAAGTAAAGTAAATGCGAGTACATCGTAATAAGTTGGCCGAAGCACCACTGACGCCAGGCTCTATTATTGATGAAATCAATGCTTGCAATACAAATTAAAATTCGCCCCAAAAATTACAATTCACAACTAAAATTTTAATCTTTTATTTAGTTCACTTAACGGATATTTGAATTTCATCTTTCCGCTCGCATGAACCACAAACTTTCATACTTATCCAGAGAAAAACTTTTCGTTGAGCGCTCACTCATTTTCAGTATGGTTTTAATTTAATTAGTGTGAGACTTTTGCTCTCGTCACTCATTGCAAGTGAAAAAAAGCCTGATTAAGAATGAATCAATTACAGAACAAAATGAAAAGGATTTCAATTGAGGCTAATTAATTCGCGCCCAAAAATATAGAATTCAAATCGGAAAATTAGGGAAAATGGTAGAAAATATTGTGTTTTAATTAATTCGATTAACTTTTTAATGTTCACATTTGAATTTTTAATGGATAATTTTTACAAAGCAAAAAAAAAACAGAACGAGACAAAAAAGCGAACCATCAATTTTTGTGGAAAATGTTAATTCTTGACAAACTTCGTTTGATAAAAAAAGAATGTAACGGTAAACGAAATGCAAACAAATCAAATTAAAGTACTTGAAAAACATTCAATTACAATGAAGATTACAAGATTCAATTGAATTTGATTTGAGATTTTGAGTTAATTGTACATGTCACGATAACAGTAATTATTTCAAATAAATCGATCTAATCACTGGCCAAATTCAAAAATAACCATTTTTTGATCGTTCACCACTTGAGATAAGAGAATAAATGAATTTCGGCATTGTGTGTACTTAAAGAGAGAGACAGAAAAAAAAAAACAAAAACTCAACTCTCAATAGCCGTAATATGTCACCTGAATTTCAACGAAATTACACGAAACTAGCAGAAGAGAATAATTTTGCAAATTCTACTTTTTTGGAGAAAGCGAAAAGTTCGAACGAGAAAAAAATATCAATAAACAACCAAATTGTCTTGAACAAATAAAGAAAAAAACATCTGTTTAAATTGAAACAATTCTCATTCTCTGTCTCACTTGCTCATTGTGCACAGCGCGGGTTTTTGAGATACACAAGCGAATTAGCAGACATTACCGTGAATTGTCTATATGGTAATGAAATTTAACGATATGAAAACGATATGAATGCGATGCAGTTTGTTATTTTGATTCAACCGAATCGCTTTACGTTGCTGAAAAAAATTGGAAATATTCAAACGTTACTCGAAATAGAACTGCAAATGGGAGAAGTTTTCCAATAAAAAAAAGCACACACATATTTGGAAGAACGATTTGTCGAATCGATTTGTTTCTTTTATTGATTTTGGTAAATAGACGAGACGAATAAAATTATATTGAGGTTACAGCTATAATTCAAATTCAACTCTCGATTGAAGTTCATTGTACGCACGTTCACAGCACACAAACACATATAATAATCGCCAAAATGCCGACTAACACACATTCAAATTCATTTAATTGAATCACACACACAGAGAGAGAGAGATACACACACACACACACACAATTTATTCGCACAAGAAATTATCAAAACGGCAAAAAAGAAGTATCGACAAATTATGTGATCGAGGAGCAAAACTAAAGAAAAGATGGGACAAGATGATAATAAAAAGAAATTAGCACATTTTGCAGTTGAAACAACGCGAACGTGAACGATCGACGGAAACTTAACTGTAGCTAAACGTCAGTGGTTACGAAGATAGAACTGAGACCCCAAAAAAAGAACAGTGTTTGTGCAATGATTCACCAATAAATGGACGCTAACCGAAATCATTTGCTATTGATTTCAACGAATTTATTTCCATGCCAAAGGTGTAAAATACTGTAATGCAATGGAAATTCAGACGAATGTCAACTGAACATCATGATATATCCGTCTTATGGTGAAAATATTCGAAACGGCTTCAACCAAATGAATACAAAAAAAAAAACTCACGAAGAGCTGTGCAAACGACAAAGCGTCAAATCTTATCAAAATAAGACCAATGGGAAGCCAGCACTTTGTATAATGGGTTTCACACACCAACACACACACACATTGGAATTGTTCACGACCAACCGTTGACGTTTTAGTGAAGAATATTTGATCCATTTGTTGGCAACCAGATAAATAATATCTAATGGAGATAAGAAAACCAAAGCATCAGCGAACAACATGACACAAAATGCGATTAATCGAAACGAAAAAAAAACTCCAAAAGTAACAACAATAAAAAATTGAATGAAAAAAGAAGAAAACATGATTGGAATTGAAAATGCTTCAAATAAATTGTGACATTGTGTGCCACCGAATTTCATTGTGAGTCATCTTTGCGTCAATTGTCTCTTTTTCTCATAGATGATTGTCATATTTGTCGTGATCTTCCGTATTCAATACGATAATTTCTAAATGAAGTTCACTTGAACAAAGAAAGACAAAGAGCAAGAAGAGAAGAAAAAAAAATTGAAAATGTTCGCATTTTTAGAAGAAGAAAAAAAGCCCGCGAAAGCGCTATTTTGTCATACTCACGTTTGTCATTCCATTCAGTTTATAGCGAACATACTCTCGAATTTATCACTTCCATTCGCATTCACATTCGTATTTACAACTCATCGATTTTGTGTATGTTTATGTCATTGTGTCAGTTCGACACAGCGACACATTCGATGCCGAAGTTGTCAATGTATTTGAATTTGGTTGTTTTTCTTTCTCACTTTTTCAGCGTGTTTCGATTTATGTTGCGTGTGCTTGGTTTTTTATCGTTCCTCTTCTTTCTTCTCATGCTGGTTTTATTTTTATTTTATTTTTGTTGTTACCGTTAAAGAGTTTGTATCGAAATGGTATATTGGTGGGTATGCATTTTTGTTTTCTCACTCGCTATCATCATCGTTGTCATCATTGCCCGTCATTATTATCATTCAGTGCATTTGTGTGCGGTGGCACTTTATAGAACATTCGACTGTTGCAGCAGCTTATAAAAAATGTATGTGCTCGCTAAGCTATTATCACGCGCTTCCGCGCGTCAAATACATACTCAATAGCAAATTCAACATGGACGGTGTTGATAAATTTTATACGATCGAATTTGTGAATCGGGCATGTAATTTGAAGAAACGACGCGCACCATATATGTGTATATTTGCAAACAAATGAATGTAATACATTTGCACACGGTTCTCGTTTTTTTTTAAATCGAAAGAAGAGTGACAGCGACAAAAAAACAAGCATATTGCGGCATTGAATAGATGAGCAGACAGAACAAATACAGAACAGAGAGTTAGAGAAAAAGAGAAAGAAAGACCGAATAGAAAAAAATGGTTGATTAAACGCATGGATTTTTCGTATATACGCTATTATGGAAGTGAAAGCCTCTAAAGTCGACTCGAAAAACTCCAAAGAGATATTAAATGAAAATGGAGAAAATGGGCGAAAAATGAAACGAGATGAAAAATGAAATGTGGTGAGCATTTTTGCTCGCTGAATAATTGTTGTTGGCGGTACAAAAGTGCCATATTCATTTTTAATATGTATGTTATATTATAAATTATAATTATAATTTGTATTTAGGACTTTGAATCGAGATATGTCTGTGCGAACAAGCGCGTTCGCTTAGCAATACCAATGATGGTGTGTTTTTTTCGGACGATAAAACTGTGGAACATACGGGTGCTGAAATGAGACGCAAATAGAAATGCTGTTTGTGTACGACAAAACAGACGAATAATCGTGTATGCGCAACGGGCATAGGCTTATTTTTAGAAATCTCTGGTAAACGACTGGTTTTTCATCGTTTCTCTTTTTATTCATTAGCTTATCCGTGTTTCATATAACGATCAAATTGTGAGAGTGACAAGCGCTTCATAAACGGTGTATACATTTATAATTCCCGTCCAAAATGTTGCCCTGTTGCCACAACATACAAATATTATGTGGCTGCGCACTGAGAATGGTTAGGCATTCACCAAACGGTATGAGTGTGTATGAGTTGAAAAGAGGTTGGCTTTCGTTTCGATTTTGATTCGTTACAGCACCGCCTTCTGGTTGCTTTACGTGCAACGTACATATATCGGGTATTTGCAGCTGAACACATCACCGACAAGAGCAGCAGATTTATTTGAATGGTTTGTTAAAGGCATGCGTTTCCAATGAATCCCGTGTATGTTTCGAGCGAGGTGATTTCAGGCGAGAGGTACAACTGTAGTTGAAAACAGAGTACAGAAGATATTAATCGCATGTATATGATTGGCTAGAAAAACATTTAAAACTGGCTACGTGTATGTGCGCGCTAGAGTGTGTGTATGGGTTATCGATCGTTTTGTTCCTTGCACATTCATTCGTGTGTATCATCATTCGTTGTCGTTTTTGTGCACCCATACAATTGCACAACAAAAACGGTTGTAGCAGTAACGGCGCAGCAGCTATACGTACTGCTATAGATAGAGACAGAGATCCGAATAAGAGATGAAGAGCAAGCGAGCTGAGGCGCGTAGATTGAATTTCAGGCTGAATTGCCGTCAAAGAGATGAGTAGGGGCAGGAAAATTGATATGTTCTCTCATACATTATTTATTTCATTTCATTTACTTTGTATTATCGATTTTCAACGAGCACCAACGGATATACTACATGCACAAGTGGCGTTGTTCAACACGCATATGACGAGCATTTCTATATTTTTTTCTTCTTTCGTTTCGTCGATTCTCTTTTCCTTGTTTCGAATGTGTGATACGCGCGCGTGTATTGGCTGTGTGCAAGTGTGAGTGTATGAGTGAGTGTGTGTCTTCGTGTGTATACGATGTGAATGCAAGCATTTTTTTTTTTATATTCTACATGTTGAACTATAGGCACTCCAGTAAAACATTGTTAGTAAGCCAAATAGTAAGTAGACATTCGTGAATGTAAACAGACGCATCTTATTATGCGTGTTTATCAACGTGAACGCAACATTCTCTGCGAAAAAAGGCCAAATAGAGCTTTTTGTTGATTCTTTAAGCCACGTTATATTTTCGAATAGTGTTCAATGTTCCAAAATCCAACTTAAGTCAAAATCAATTCGAACATATTTATGAAATTTTTTTTCTTTTTTATATATATGTATATCAAGTTCAACGAAATCGAAAACGTGAACTATGATGGAATTTTTTCTCTGCGAAACATCCTAAAGAACATTTTTTAACGTGATTTGAAGTATGTTATTCACAAGGGAAACATAATCAGTGAATTGAAAAAAAAAACGGTGAAATATAATTGATGAAATACAAATCAAACCAAGTGAATTGAGAACGCTAAGCGTAACGGAAAATCTGTGCTGCATTTAAAAAGAAAAGAAAATTTACATTCGAACAAAAAGAAAATAAAAAAAAGTTTTGAGTGATTGAACAAAAGAAACAAAAGAAAGGAAAAAACAAACAGTTTGTTTCAAAAGAAAAATCAGTTTGAAAGTTCGCGACCACAAACTAATCAATCGAGTTGAAATCGTTGCAAGTGGTGTGCTGTGTAATATATAAATCTAAAAAGCTTAGTTTTGTTGGATGTGCGATTGAATGAATGTTTAATTCGAATAATCAAGAATAATCGGTGCAAAATCGAACAATAAAAAAAATGCAAAAGTTATACTCAGAATCACCAACAGCGTCAAACATGTCAAATGGTAATGGTAGCAACGGCGGCTCAGGAAACATGAGTCCAATGAACAGTGCTTACAATATGAATCAAATGCCGATGTCTGGAATGGCGTCGGTATCACCACAAGGTGCGGGAAATAATGGTAGCAGCGGATTCGGCAATAGTGTTTTAAGTCATTCAAATGGAATGGGAGCGCTTGGTTCGTCCATAAATTCAATAAATGGCAATTGCATGACATCAAGCGCAATGTCATACGGTGCAATGAGTTCACCACTCAGCAATATGGGATCATGTAATATGGGAATTGGAAGTATGGCAGCCACAATGAGCAGCTATACAGGCGTCGGCAGTTTGAATTCGGCTCGTGATTTGGGTGACGGTGGTTCACCAAATTCGGGCGTATTACAAAGGGCACGCGTTGAAAAGCCATCAACATACCGACGCAGTTACACGCATGCAAAACCGCCATATTCATATATATCACTAATCACAATGGCAATACAACACAATTCGTCTAGAATGCTCACATTATCGGAAATCTATCAATTCATCATGGATCTATTCCCATTCTATCGACAAAATCAACAGCGATGGCAAAATTCAATACGGCATTCGCTTAGTTTTAACGATTGTTTTGTAAAAGTGCCTCGCACACCAGACAAACCAGGTAAAGGTTCATTTTGGACATTACACCCAGATTCCGGTAATATGTTTGAAAATGGTTGCTATCTACGACGACAAAAACGTTTCAAAGACGAGAAAAAGGAACAAGTTCGTTCAACGCACAAGAGTCCATCGCACAGTATTGAAGCAAGCAGTCCGGGTGGCAAAAAGGATATGTCACATCACGACGAACATCATCATCACAGCCATCACACTCACCATCATCACAATCGCGAACACAAAGGTGGCCTAAATACGGCCGAATCACATTTGGCGAATATGATTAGTGGTGCAGCAAATGCGGCAGCTGTTGGATTGAATATTCATGGCAAAGATGCCGAAGCATTGGCAATGTTACATGCAAATGCTGAATTATGTTTAAGTCAACAGTCGCATGTTCAACATCATGGAAGTGTTCCCGGCGGCGGTAATAGCGTCCATCATCAATTGCAGCAAGAAGAATTGACCGCCATGGTAAATCGTTGCCATCCAAATTTACTGAGCGAATACCATCCAATGCATCATTTGAAACAAGAACCAAGCGGCTACACGCCCTCCACCCATCCATTCTCAATAACCCGCTTATTGCCCACGGAATCAAAAGCCGATATTAAAATGTACGATATGAGCCAATATGCCGGCTATAATACACTCAGCCCGTTGCCCACATCACATGCAGCCTTAGCACAAGATTCGTACTATCCCAGTTTAAGCTATCATTCGACGTCGGGAGCGACCAGCTTGTGACATCAGTATCAATTATCGTAAGCGGTTATTTTGACTGTTTAGATAATGTTCAGTGCATTCATTGAGAAAATAAACATTTGAAAATTTAAAACAAAACTAATATGAAAGTAAAAATGGCAAATGTGCCGAGACAACAACAACAACAACAACAAAACTTTAATCAATTCACTCCAAAAAAAAAGTAAAAGAAGATGTTCTCGTAATATAATTAATTTTCATAAATACCAAATTCGTTTCGTGACATAAATGACCGCCGCGTTCACATTTTCCATTTCGTACCGTTCCATCTAACCCTATTTTTTAATAGATATGTAATAATACAACTTTTAATTAACGATCGAACAATTTTACTCTTTGACTGAAACGAAAGCTATGTAAAGAAAAGTTTTTTGAGAAGCCGATAGTTTTCAGTTTGATTATTGCAATCAGAATTTTATGGAAATTCAGATGAGTTTAATGCAAAAGCAAAACAAAAAAAAAACACACACACACACACGTAGATCTACAAATATCTCTTGTCTAAGAGACTCTTAGTAATTATAAAAATTTATCATAAAAATTTTAATTATAAATCTATATCTATTACGAATGTAAATGATGGGACAGTGTGGTGAAATCCCCATCATAGTAGCCGATAAGTTGTTCCTTTAATCAATAATGATCATTATATCCAAGTTTGCATAAGGTCATATAATTATAACCTCAAAACTAAAAAAAAATGTCAGAAATAATACAAAACGGAAAATATCATAGGAAAAATATGGTGTTTCTTATAGAACTGATACAATTTTTTTTCTGTTCTTCATTTGAAAACATTTTTCGGATTATACTTTTTTTTCTCGGTAATTGCTCTGCGGGCAAAAGCTACAATTGCACTAAAAAATTATAAATACCACAAATACTTTACTTTCACAAAGAAAAAAAAAACAAAACATTTTTAAAATAAATCAATTGCCCGTGACTCAACAAGCAGAAGCAAAATGGATAAGGGTTTATTTCAAAAGAAAAGTATATATATAATTCCGAGATTGCAAAAAAATACAAAAAAATGAATCATTAAATTCAAAGATTATTGATATAGACCGATTGAATTATATTTTGAGCGTGACCATATGAGGATTTAAAAAAAAAACATTATACTAAGGCTTAGCAACGCACGCCGGGAAATCGCTAGTTAAAATTATAATCATCATCATTAATTATAATAATATATATTGTATATTACATTGAAAGTAATTTTAAAATTAAAAGGTCAAAAAAATTCAAAAAAAAAAAACTTTATTGTATATTAAATGTTTTATAAGTTTTGATAGAATTTTTTCTGTTTGTTCGATTTTATTTAGACTTTGGGCTTCACATCACTATTTTAAGCTCCTTTACATATTGCTATTTATGCGTCGATTATTCTAATTGATGTGACATGAACTATATATTTTTGGCATCGGAATACCGCTGAAAATGAGTTTGTATGCTTGACGGTTTATTGCTCTCTTGTGCTTTGTTTTTGTCAATAGTTTGCCATGCCGAAAATGTTTGTCTTGACTTGTTTAATTAATGAAAAATATCAGCGAACTTGTGCCAAGCGTGTATTTGACACTATTTTTTTTTTTTGGTTTCATTCGGCGTATCAGTGAAAGTTGTTGTTTGCATCATAAAATTGAGAATAAACATTGCTGATTGATAGGTAAATGTTTGAATTGGAAATCACTGATGAGATGAAGAGGTAATAATAGCCTACATGTTTTTTTTACTTATAAACAATCAAAATTTTCAGAATTAGTCGTCATTGCCAAGAGTAAGTGTTACACACATCAACGTTGAGATGGTGGTTCGAGCTAAAATGAAATGCTAATCAGATAATTAGCGTACATAATAGATTAAAATGCTGTTCTAGCCATCACCGTTTCGCTGAATGTGTATTTCATTACTCGTTTTTTTTTTTAAATATTCAAGTATTAGGAAAACCGAACTAATTTAGCTAACACGCCCAAATGATAATATAAGATTGTTGACATAAAAATTACGATCGGTTCGAAGCTGTGGCGCGCGCATTTACATTCGCCAATTTCGCATAAAACGTGAACACAAAATGAATAAAGAGCGAAACGATTCTTTAACGAAATGCAGAAGCAAGGTGCAAAACAATCCATTTGAAAAATATTGGTTAAACCCTTTATACTTTTGCGATTGATCGAAACAAACGAGGTAGGTATTTAAAAAGATATACGTTTAGCTTGGCCCATTGTATTCTTCAAAACTTTCAAATTGACAGTTGAAATCTTCTTGCACACATATCGCATTTTCTTTTCCTGCGAAATGTAATTTACAAAATCATCCAACGTCAATATTGTGTGACACATGCATATCATCTTCGAAAGTCAGATTTTACGAAGAAAATAAGAAAAAAAAACAATTATGCAAAGTACTCGCCTGACGCACCATACAACCATTTGGCAGTAAAGTGAACCTGTCTGAAGGTATGTTTGCGAATGATTAATAAATATTAATAATAACGTTTTAAGTAAATACATTTACTTCGTATATATATCTTCTTTTTTTTTCATTTTTAACGGCCTAAGTGGAACAGAAGAAAAGAGAGTTTTGTACCAAAAACATTTCGCATTTGATTAGTCGTATAGGCGTACGTGCGTTCATATTGGTTCCTTTCTTCGTGGTCGCAAAAGTATTAAAAACATTGCATTGTAAAATATTTCGCTCATTTCTGAAGATATTACGTAGACTGATTTGGTTCGACGCAATGCAAATTACTCATTGGAAATTTATGTGTATCTTTTTTTGAAAACATTTGTGGAATAAAACGATACAACGGAAAAATGTGCTGACTAACAGATGAAATGGAATGAAAAACGTTATATGTGCACAACGCTAAGTTACAATTGTTTGGAAAATCCAATATGTCTATGTTTGATCAGTTTTTTACTTGTTTCAAATGAAACGCACACCCAAAAAGGCGAAAGAGAGACATTTTTACAGCAAACCGTATTTGTGACCTTGCTAATTTTTCTTCTTCAAAAAAGTCGCCTTTTATCATCCTCAAATCTTCGCATCGACTATTCACCGAGAAATCTAGAAATTATCACTCCTTTCAAAACCTTTAAATCGTTTTCAAAAGATGCCTGTGATTCAGGTGGATAACACCACCAAATTTAAAATCCAAATCGCACATTTTTCAAATTGTTTTATCTTCATTTTCCGGTTAAAATACAACAAACATTCGATTTTTACAACAAACGAAGTAAAAACATCAGAAATTGTCTATTCTCATCAAAATCCACCGAAGATCATTGTTCTTTATTCGTCAATTCAATTTAATACGTTTATGTATGTAATAATACATTTTACAAAACAATAAATCCAAATTGTTGACATGAACTCGATGATTGTTTGTACTACAAAATGCCCTAGGGCAAGATTATCTAGGTATTGCCGCCATGCATATTAAAGTGAATACGCAACTAAAGCGCTTTTTTTTATTACAGCCTGTGGATAAAAATCTGTGCATTTTATTTACTATTGTATATTCAAGGAAATTCCCAATTTGAATTTTACTTCTCTATCATTTGATTCAAGGTGGGGGACGCATCAATATAATTATGATGATATAAGTATTAACAAAAGAAATTATGGATCAAAATATGCGACAAAGCTCCAAAATTCACATTTTACTTCGTTCAAAGGGTTAAATTGGATTTCATTCCCATCGCACATATTCGCAATATAGATTTCAGATGGTGAGAAATGTTCATTCAGTTTTTATTGATTTCGTTTTCTTCAAACATTTTTTTTTCATCAATAATTGCAACGCTCATCCATATTGTCTGTTTGTTTGAAATTGAATTCCAAGAGTCTGGATATTTCAAGTTTCAATGCTTGATGTCTATATATGTATATTTGATTAAAAAATAATTGAAATAATTAGAATGCATTTTCCGCATTTACAGAGTGCTTTTTGCTCTCCTATCCAATGTACAAACCATTTCATTTGAGTTCGTAAAATACAGATGGCACTGGCATTCAGTCAGTGTGTTTATCTATTCTGTGTAATGTGAACGGATCATATACAAACACATTTTTATTGGTTGAAAAATATTTATTTACACAATTTATGAAAAAAAATGTCTCACTGAAGTGAATAGTTTATTGGATTCATTCGAATCCAACTGGAACATGTGAAAAAAGAACTGAATTATGGAATGATATTGAATGCCGAATATCAATACAAAAAGGCAAACAAAAATTAACTAAAACTTAAAACCTTTGGACGACAAATCGGCTTTTGCCTCTTCAATTTGTTTTTGGATTTCTTCGCCTGCTTCAGGACAGTCATTGAATGTGAAAACACGATACAAAAGCGTGTATGCTGAATATCCCTATAAATAGATGGAGAAAAAAAAATACAAATGACATTAAGCCGATTATCATAATAGTAAAAACTCTTTAATTTTATGAATATGTTGATGTTCTATCGAAAAATATGTTGCACTACTTACTCCAAACATTCCGATAAGATAAATCGGCAGAAATTTAATGTGGATCATCATTTCCTCGGAAAATTTTGGTTCACCGGTTAGCAAATAGACATATACTGCCAGGAATCCAATCAGTACGCCCAACCATTCCATCAATTTCGTCATTTTGAGTTGAAATCTATTTTATACGTTGTATCACAAATTTGATGGACTCGTTTAGCGATCGTGTTTAAATTCAAACTATAGATGAAAAATACAGCTAAATTTAATGAACAAATCCTTTGTTTACGTGTTCAGCCAATTTTCAATCGAATTATGGTGATCTTTTTACTCTGTCTGTCATATGATTTGACAGCTTGACAAATGTCTCTAATTTGAACATTCATACGGTTTAATTTCAAAATTATTCAATTCGATTGTTTTTCTTAAAATATTCAGTTCGTTTTTAGTTTTTTTTTTTTTTAATTTTGAAAGAAGAATTAAATAATTATTTAATTTTAAAATACTAAAATTGAATTCAATTTCTTTTAATTTCGATAGATTTTTGGCATCGATGAAAATTGAGATAATTGACTCACGACATCTTTGTGTCAAAAATGACAACACAATTTCCAATCAATTCATTTTTCAGGCAAATAAAAAACAACGAATTCCATGCACTGCTTGATATTTTAAAGAAAAATGCACCATTCAATATTGGTTGGTAACAAAATTTTTATTTTTATTTTTTTTATAGGCTACTCAACAGTTCCCTGTGTAATATTTGAAGCCTGTTTAAATTTGTAAATATAAATCGAAATAAAAATGTGTGTTAAAAGGCGTGCGATACAAAAACTCGTTTTAAATTCACTAATTTAATTCAAATACTGTCGATTTTGTTGTTATGTATTCTTGATTGCATTGATTGAATAGGTTGAACTGATTGAGTATTCGTAATATATTATAAATGCATACTTAAATAAATTACTAACATTTTAAATCGAAAACATCATATTCACTTGGACGTTAACACACTTATTGTCTAATAGTTGCATCAATTTTGAATTGGTTTAATCAGAAGCAGAAGAGAAGGGATAAGAAGCACTGTATGTATGGCATTTCATTCGACAGTTGAGTATTTCAATTTCATAAAATGGGATAAAATCGTTTGGTTCACCCAAAATGGAATGATTAAGTGAAAATAAAAGCTCGACTTTGCTTATGCATGAAAGAACGACGCGGTTGGCTGCGAAATATTTACACTTGAATACAACTTGTTTGCAATCGACTAAAGCCGTACTTTAAATAGTTGATTCATTCGCATCGTTCATTTTGCGGGAAGAAAGAAAGTGGTCAAAGTCGAAATTTTACTATGACTCACTCATATATGGAATCGACGATTTTCTTGTTTGCATTAATTTAATTCAAATTCTATTGGTTCTAAATGTTTGTCTTGAAGGAGTATTTCTCTGTTCCTGATTACATCAAATTGGTTTAATGAATGACCGTCGAATTAAATGCGATACTTTTTGCACGCCGTATGCTATTAAAATCGCTAAAGCTTGGATTCACTTTTGTTAGGAAATTGGGATTGTCAAGCAAACCATAGGTTTGACTGAGAATTGGTTGTGGTGTTCCATAACTTTGTGATGTCTTTTGAAATGCCGTATATGGTTGATGGGTTTGTTTCAGAAATATTTCTGGTGTTTCGCCGGTATTCAGAGCGGTAAATGGATTTTTCACCGCACGATTTATAACGCCGACCGGTTCGTATTGATACGGCTGTCGAATGCTATTGAAGAAATTGTCAACAAATGATGATTTAATGTCTGTGATTGGTTTCGGTGAGTATGGAGCATGTGTTATTTCCGTTTTATAGAGTAGCGGCGATGGTGGTGCTGTTGGATACAAACTTGAACCACCAAGTGAATAAGCTTGACTGCCAAAATTGTGGCCAAGCACATTTCCATGATTTCCATGATGCAAATGTTGTTGCTGCTGCAATGAATTGGTAGCACCACCAATACGCAATATCCGTGTATTAATATCATTTGTATTCACATTTTTCAAAAAGAAACGATGGAACCGCGATGAAAGTATATACACTGAACCTGGATCTTGTACTGGTGAACTCAAATCAGCAACGAATTGAAGTCGCTCTTTATCATATGACCATACTCTTTAAATTTGAAAAAAAGAGAAAGAAGAAGATTAATCATAAAAGATTAGTATTTACGTGAATTTGATTTGAATTCGGTTGTAGAAGAGCTTACTTTTGTTTATTGGTATTTGGATTCCATTCGGCTATAGCAGTTTCACTGAATGGACTGAAGAAAATCGAACCATCACGTGGACTTAGTGTCAAACCGATTCCTTGCGATGATTTTTTACCAACCAATCGAATTGGCAATTCAGCACCGAATGGCAATGGTCCAGCGCGTAATGCGCTTGTTTTAATTGAAAACAGTCTGCGACAATTGTTTCATTTGAAAATTAATGAAAAAAAGATTTTTTTTTATTCAAAAATAAAATTATTTCTACCTGTCAGTGGCCAACGGTTGGAAGTAAACAACACCAATGGTTGCATCAAATGCAATGCCTACAATGCCGTCCATCAGAGTGAATCGATAACCTAAAATGTTGGATTGTGCAAAATTTGGATCTGGAAACATGGCTGGATGCGATAATCGCCAAGTAAGATCACGACCGCTGTCATACACAACAATTGCTGCAATAAAACAATTTATTACATATTATAGACAGATATTTTGATTGTGATAAACAGCGACAGCTGATGTCACGTTTTGAATCAAATGTAAACGGTCTGATTATGATCGCTCATGCATGTGACAAAACGTTTAATAAATCACTTTCGCTTTACCAACCTGGTTCAACCGTATCTGTAATATAAACAAACACATCATCACAGTTATTCGATGGTTGTGATGTGGTTTCATCTATCACCATGTTGGTAAACAATGATTCACCACGAATTACTTCAGGTGGGAAATCAATTCTGTAATAAAAGAGAAAAGGAGAAAGAAAATAACATGGAAAAACGATTGCTGGTTACCATGTATGGAGGAAGGTTATTGTTTCGACGTAAAAAAAGCATACCGTCTAACAACTTGATCTGTATTTAAGTCGAACACCAAAATCTTTGGTGGACATGTTACTTCAAAATCTTCTAATGATCGTGACACACCAGCATCCAATGCCCATAATCGATTACATGAATCGATTCGCATCCGATAAACGGATACCAGTCCCAATTCACTGCAATTATATGCACGTTGGCCGGCCGTATGGAATGACCAATCTGGATACGCTTGCAAAACCGAAGAATCACCGACTATTTTTCTCGGTACGGTTGACACCTGCAAAAATACAATATAATTTATATCAAAACCAAAAAAAAATACCGTGTTTTAAATATCTTCTGTAAAGTTTGTCATTCTTACAGTAGCTGGAATGCCGCTAAATAGACGTGGTGTTGCAATAAAAATTCGATCATAATCAACAGCAATGCCGGTGGCGACCACAGATACCGGATTGTAATAGTCTTTATTGTCAGACGGCGCGTCCCACGGTAGATTATATGTTAGCACATTCCATTGTTTAACATCTTCTAATGGTGGTCCGCTTGCATGAATCTCTCCATTGATTGCTCGAGTCCAAAATAACACCAATAAATATATGTACGCAAAAGTCATCATAGAATTTTGAATATATGCTCGAATTGGTATGTTTTTTTTTCTCTTCCTCCTGCTATCTGGTGTCTTTTTTCACAACGGCTGAAAAAATGGACAAGTGCAATTATGGCACATTAATCTTGCGACGGTGTCAACTCTTTTCCTGCAAAAAAAAAAAAGAAACAAGAATTTTAACAAATCACCATTTATTGACTAACTGTATGCGTGGCTGCGTACGGTAATTCAAGGTTTTTTCTCATTGAATTTCCATTAAATTTTTGTAATGATTAATACGATTTCATATTTGAACAGCGGCCGCCAAAGTACGATTTTTTTCGTAAATAAAAGGTGGTATGTGAAAATCCGGCATACCTATAAATTCTTTATTTTGTTTAATCGACTATCGTTTACTAGATCTGTTTGTCATGTAATTTCACTTAATGCAACGTGTTTCGAACAGGAATAAATTTATGAAGATTGACAACAAGCCATACAAAAAAAATGTTGGATTTGTTTTTTGCTCCAATTTTATATGAATGGTTTCTGTTGCTCGTGACTTAATTCATAAACTGGTTTGGCTGTTGTGAAGATAAATAAAGACCAAAGCAGATTGATTTACATTTTGATATGCGAGCCGAGCATAAGTGTTTATTTTTAATACGCAGCGTAATTTCACTTTTTTCTTGAACCAAATTATACCAGTGCATTCCCCTTTTTTTTTGTTTTTGGTGAATGCATTATTAAGGAAAGGTTAACTTAAGTTCTCTCGGTTAACCGTACGATGAATGACATACAATTATCATTCTGATCACTTCGGCAAGAATATTTATGTTGTTATTTTTGTTTTTTTCACTTCGCGTGGTGTCCAGTTACGGTTTACTATCACTTTCGATAACGACATTGTGTGAAACCATGGACCGATACGACGTAAAAAAAAATTATTAAAAAAAATATTTCTAGTCTAGACGTGTTTACCTTTTGTATTCTATTTAGCAATGAACGAAATTTCTTTAAAAAAATTCGCACAATTATTGTTCACTTTGATTGGCATTGTTTTTCTTTGGAATGTTTTTTTCTACTCTCCCATAGGCCATAAAACGCGATTGTATCCGGTAATGTGTGTGTGTGTGGGTATTAATTAAGAAATTTTCTGAGAGCAGACTGTAATTTTGTCGAACGCTGAGCTGCACTCAGGCAGGCGTACAATATTGGCATTTATTGCAATTGAAGGGAAAATGCGCTTCACACAATTGCCCTTTCCAACAGCCAAAAAACTAGCAATACCATATGTTCGATGAGAAAATTGGCAGAAACAAAGAAAAGAAAAATCCGTTGCACTTTTTTTTTCATATGATGAAAATGAAACCAAATGGTTGGTGTTTTTTTTTGCGAAAAATACCGTACGACATTGACTTTTCAATCAACATTTGCGGTTTTGTTCTCACTTAATGCGGGAAAAGTGAGACGCTTCAAAATTGTGTTGTTGTTGTGCACGAAATCACCACACATAATAATGATATTTATACATACACAATCATTTCAATTTTACTTTAGACGGTTATTTTTCGTCTTCTTTCCTCATATGTGAACAATGAATATTTCGGCATTGCATAAGTTCTGCTTTGGCATCGTGCACGTTAATCGGCGTTCGGCTTTTGAATGAATGGCATGTATTATGTGCAAAACAATAAAAAAACAACAACAAAAAAAAAACAGAATTATCGATCGGCATGATTGTGGTGTATGCATTAATCCACGCCATATGCAGAAATCAAATTCAAATATTACACCGAAATTTTGCAAAATATTTCATTCACCAAATTGGCGAGAGAGAAACACGCCCCAAATATGGCATAATAAATGACGCCTAATAAACATTAAATCATCTAATGTTTACGCAGTCGGTGTGTGAAAAAGATAATAATACTCTTTTTGGGAACATTTCATTGTAGGTATGACTGAGAATTCCGCAATCTATAATGCCAAAATAATCGATAAAGTTTTCTTTTTCAATGAGCAGTCACGAAATAAAAACCACACCGCATATTATTCATAAAGATATGAAGATGTGAAAGAGATAATTGAAATAAAGCATAATTACGGCCACTTTTTTGATACTTTTATTTAATGCCATTTGAAATTTGACATCCAATTCATAATGTGGTCATTTGTTTTCTAATTCCAAAACAAAATGAGTATGATTGGTGGTTATATCACTGTGGCAATAAATATTAGCTCTGCTGGTGTGCGGTAATATTTCGTTGAATTTCAAGCCTAATAATCAAGTTCGTAATAAATGTATACATGAATAAAATGAAAGATTGAAATGGGAAAAAGCAAGATCTTCCTAATTCCGTTTTCCTCAAAATATAAATAACAATCGATCGTTGTTGAACAAATGCATTTCATATTGACGGCAAACATTTGAATTTAACCACGCTACTAACTTTTCTCTCTCATTTTTTCTTCTTGTTTTTTTTTTCAGTAATTCATAATTATTTATCGTGTGAATAATCATCAGATACTCCATTTAACTATTAAGTAATCGTCGTTAGTACAGAAACAATGTTCAACGGCACACAAAAATTTATATTTGAAGAGAAATAGAGAAATAAATAAAACGTAGGGAAAAATGTGCGAAAAATAAATACACACAACAAATGATAAATCGACAATTTTCAACGCCCTTAATCACTCTCAATTTCATTTAGCTTTCGCTCAAATACGCAGATGCACATCGCGAGTAACAGAAACCAAGACATCAACAACATCAACAGTTTTTTATAATTGCAAAGCAACATTAATGCACACACGCGCAACGTATCTTTTAAGCTGCAATCAAAACCAAATCTTCAAAAAAAAAAAAAAAAAATGAATATAAAAAACACTGTATACATTTATAGCTAACATATAAAAAAAATACGAAAAAAAATTTCATGGCGCTATGATATAGATGGCAAATGCAGACAAGATCACGAAATCAATGAGACAATAGTCGCAATTAAATGCTGCTCACTTAGCGGAATGAATAACGAGCAAAAATATGAGAAAGAAAAACCGTTAACTTGTACGTTTTTTTCGTTGTAATACACTGAGTTAGTTCCGTTCTTTTACAATCCAATTCGTTTGACCCGCATTTCCAAGACAGAGATATGAGGAAGACGATCCACCGAAAAAAAAAAACGCAAACAGATTGCACGAATGCATGCCAAATCACACCTATTTACTTCATAATGACAATACAATCATTATTTTGTTTTTTTTTTCTCTTTTTTTCATTTCTTCTGCATTTCATTCCATTGTTTCTTTGCTATGATTTCTTTCTCCGATTTTATTCAGTGTTTTTTGTCGATTTTTTTTTCTGCGGCGCTAACAATGAAATGAAACATCGCCACAATTATCATTACAACAATTACCATTATTACTATTAAATGTGCTCGATTATTGTATACATTTCCGTCTGGTGATCTGTATTCATCACTTAACGTGTGAAATGATTAACATTTTATGGTCACTTTTTTCTTCTCTTCTTTTGCGGCAGTGTCGTAACACAATCATTGATCAATTGCAAAAAAAATGCCAATCGACATTGATTTGACTGGACCGCAGTCTACGGTATACATGAGTGTTAACGAATCATGAACGAAAGAAATCACGATGCATGTGCACAATGTCATTTTCACTTTTACATTTAGTTGCCATTGCAATTCGCCCACGAATTCAATTTATTTAGACGAATGGATCAAAATTGGTGTTAAAATGTTTCTGAGTTTAGTTCATTTAGTCGTATCTACACCACGGAAAACGTATGATAATAAACTTACATTTTTTTATATACTGTATCAAGGGTATTTGTGCCTTGCTGTGTTACAGATCTTATGTTTATTTCTTTTTTTTGGGGAGCCATAGTGATTTTGTAAGAGATATGTATTTATTTTGATGTTTTTTATATATTTGATATAACAATTCTATACTGGACATGATTTGTAGCTGCATTTACCCATATGCCGCAAATGATCAATTAAATTTAGAGCCACAATAAATTAAACTGTTGCCAGGCAATTAATTACACGACAATGTGTTGTAATGTGTCTCATAGAAAAACAAACGATATTTCTTGTAGCTGATTGGATTCAGTCTGTATTAGAGCAGTGTGTACTGTGTATTGTACATAAATGGCGATTGGACAATATTGTTGGTTTTTGTGGTGTGTGTTTTAGTTTGTTATTTTCATTGAAAATCTGTACCATTTAATCAACGAATTGATTCAACTTTAGATAAGTTTCACTTTTAACAAATCTTCTGCAGATAAATATTTCATATTAAATATAATAAATTGCACTTTAATAATAGTTTTTGTTTTTCTTTAGAATGGAGAAACGAATTTTAAAAAAATACGACTAGGACGCCGACATTAATTGGCTGGTTCAGTTGAATTTTTGTATAAAAATTCCATTCAGTGAATAATTAAGTCGAAAATAGAGTTGTATGCATTAAATGATTAAGTTGTGACTACTTGCATGCTTACATTTTTTTGTTAATCATTAAATAAATAAAAAAATATGTTCGATAATAGGTGAAGCATGAATGTACGGGGTAAGCCTGAAATGAGGCAATTTCTTTTGAGATTTCCATAAACAACCATTCAATTCATATTGAAACAAGCGAATGAATTATTTTTTGTTTGTTGGTACGTTCGGTCTCTATTTTTTTGTGTGTTTCGTTTCTCCTCATCTTTTAATGATTAAATCGTGGATAATGCTGGAAAATAAGTTTGGACAATTGAATTAGAAACTTTCCCTTTTCGTTTATGCAGACCATAATGCATACAACCAATAGTTTTTGCAACAGTTTTTCTTTTACTCTCTGTCTCTAAACGTTCGTTTAAATAAAACGTTTGCAAATGTGAGGCGTGAATTGAGTGCTTGTATCTTTTTAAATAGATTGGCCGTTGCACATAGTTGATGTGTGTGTGTGTTTTTTTTTTATATGCAAATTGTAAGTTCCTTGGTCGATTTCTTGTACACGTCCAACTTCCTCATGACTTTTGACCACCATGCACATTGAAAATGCAAATTTTTTTCTAATTGCAAATTGCACGTTCGGTTTTTTTATTCATTCACAGAAAGACATCTTCAGAATGATTAGCTAATCGAGTTTAGC